GGCGCTTCGTTCTCTCTGGCTCGCGCGCTGCCGCGTCCTCGCGGGCTTGCCAATTGCAAAGTCTTCCCGGCGCCTCTCTCCCAATCCACCCGCGTTTTCAGAATCTTTCGTTACTGGGTGAAAAAAGGAAGAAAAGAGGAGGGAGGGAGGGAGGCTAGATACGTGTCAAGAGCTTTTTAGAGCCTGAGGACTGTATTGATTCAAAATCTGTCAGAATTTCATATGGGCAGTCTTCATAATACGTGTATTTAAAGCCGTCGGCGCTGATCGTAGATTGTCCGCGTACCTAAGAGTTTATTTGAATGTGGAGCAAAAGAAGGAGGGCGAGGGAAGTTCCCTCACTTTGAGGCAGGGGCAGCGAAATAGTACAGTACTTCCATGTTTCAGGGGCAATCTGTCATTGCATCCTTCATTCGAGCTCAAAAACTGTTTTTCAGGGCTCAGCTGTGGAACACATGAGGAAATAATGGAGAGTTTTTGAGTATGTACAGAGTGCCTTTCTCTTTAAATTTTCCGCTTTCCACACACTTAGGATGAAAGCAGGGCAATTAGCACACTTTTTCTCAGTATCCTTTGTACAACAACCCCCCCCCATGATATTCCTATTTTACAGACCTTTTTCCCCCAAGGCTATGGTGGTGGTCAGTGCTCTACCTTTCCAGCATCCTAATTCCCATACTAGCCAACCAACTCAATGAGGGATGGTGGCTCACCTGCACATTTCAGGATGGGGTCCTGTAGCTGAATGCTGCTTAGGCACCACTGGCTGTGGCGAATGAGAGTTCCAAGCCAACAGCATCTGGGAGGCAGACATTCCCCATTCTTGAACTGCACTACTTTGCCACAGTTTTAATGAGTCATGACACTGTTTAATTTTAGAAGATTTGTTTCAGTTGTATTAATTTTGCTTTAAGGTTTGCTTTGTACTATTTTGTTTTATTTAATTGTGCTCCTGAATTCACAGTAAATTGTATATGAGAAAGATTCAACTACCAATCCAATTGTTTGGGATTTTTGTGTGTGTGTGTGTGGGGGGGAGAAGAGCTCTTGTTCTTTATTTCCAGCGACAAATGATCTTGAGCCATCCTTGCCTGGAAATAAATCCAAGGAAAGGGTGACTAGCGGATTCTGGGAGTTGTAGTCCAAAAATAACTTTTCTACCATGTGCAATTAAGTTTTCTTGTTGTTGTTGTTTAGTCGTGTCTGACTCTTCGTGGCCCCAAGGACCAGAGCACGCCAGGCCATCTGTCTTCCACTGCCTCCCGGAGTTTGGTGAAATTCATGTTGGTAGCTTCGGTGACACTGTACAACCACCTCATGCTTAGCTCGTGCAAAATGCAAGCCCTTGGCATGCTAGAACTGCTGTCTTTCTCTGTTGTCAGACACTATGGAGAACGTCCAAAAGTACTCCCACTGCAGCATCATACTGGCTTGCCTTCAGCCCAGAGCATCCTGTAAATGCAGCTTCAGTCATATACACCCCTCACCCTGCATTTCACATTAGAAACTAGATGCTTTTGACTGGAGGACACAATCAGACTGTCAAAACACTCCTGCAGCCACACACCTGTCAGCCACACAACATGGGAAGGAGAACCCTAATCAAAGTTCTTGACCAGATAATGTTGCATTACTAATCCCAGCTATTATCAGCACAAGCCCCAAAAGACAATGCAGAAGTCAAAGACAATTAAACCAGTGCAACTTGAAATCAGGACTAAGAATGTGATTTGTTGTTGTTGTGTGCCTTCAAGTCGCCTCCGACTCATGGTGACCCTATGAATGAGTGCTCTCCAAAATGTCCTGTCCTCAGCTGCCCTGCTCAGCTCTTGCAGACTGAAGCCTGTGGACTTTTAAAAGGAGTAATTCCATCTCATATTTGGTCTTCCTCTTTTCCTGCTGCCTTCCACCTATCCCAGCACCATTGTCTTTTCCAGGGAACCCTGCCTTCTCACAATGTGCCCAAAGTAGGACAGCCTCAAGTTTCAACATTCTTACCTCCAGAGATAGTTCGGGCTTGATTTGATCTGGGACCTGCTTGTTCATCTTTCTGGCAGTCAAGGGTTTATGCAAAGCTCTCTTCCAGCATCATATTTTGAACGAAACATTTTTTCCCTCTCAGCTTTCTTAACTGTCCAGCTTTCACACTAGTACATGGTAATCACAGTGCAATATTGTGGAAGGAGACGTGTAAGCTTCAGTACAATTCATAGGAACTGAAGGCTGCCTTATTCCAAGCTTGGTTATTTTCTTCCTCATGAGATGGAAAAATTATTTTGTAGCAAAAAGTTACTTTGGCAGTGGTCGTACCACCTTTGTATTCTGTGTTGTGTTAAAGAACAAACATACAAAAACAAGCTAACCCCCTGAAATTTGTCTTAGACAAAGACTCCCCAAATTCTGGGAGAAGATTTCCTGTCCTCTTCTACAATATCCTATTTAAGAAGAGGTCCTAGGCCCAGCAAAACAACTTTGGCTGGTTAAGGTACCAACATCTAGCCCCTGGGGATCTTCCTGCGAATATGTACACTACCAAAATTGAAAAAGAAAAAAAAATGAACCTGGACATTGATATCCTGTCCTGAAAAATTGATATTTGGGGGAGGATTAAATGATGCAAGTGGATGCAGTGACGTATTTGAAAGGTGGACTGCCATGAGGCTTCCAGGAGTTGTAATCCACCTGCTCTTTCGTGGGTTCTGCCGCTGGACTGCATTCCTCAGACATGTCTTCAAAGCGTAAAATGCAGCTGAATCAAGATGATGGGGGGAGGGGGATTTATTTATTTATTTGTTTGTTTGTTTGTTTGTTTGTTTATTACATTTATACCCTGCCCCTCTAGACCATGTCTACTCGGGGCGACTTACAACATAAAAATCAATATAAAATATATATAATCATTAAAAATACAGTTACTATATTAATTACTGCTACATTTTGACTCTGACTCGATTTTGTGTGAGTACAGAATCCTATAATAGTCCAGAAGGTGATAACAGTGTATGCAAAGGTATAAATGTGTGTCTCCCCCCCCTTCTAAATTCTTTTTAGCTATTCATTTCTTATTCACACCCTGCTAGTAACAGCCTTCTCTGAGGCATTCTTTACCTCAGGGTCAAGAGCAGCCTGATTCAGTAGATCGTACTGCTGAGCTGACTCACCTTGGAATGTACTGGATAGAAAAGTCTGTGGGGCAGGAAGGCTGCCTTTGGGGTCTGCTGCTGTGCTGTCTGCCTTATCCTTCCAGTACAGGCTGCTTCCTCCTTCAGCAAACACACCTTCATCTGCCCTGGAGAACAGGTCCAAACACAGCTCCAAGGCCTTAAAAACATCAGTCCTGAATGTCATAATTCAATGTTGCTGTTGTTGTTTAGTTGAGTGTCCTGAATTACTACTTTGTTTCTTGAATCACCAAACCAGTAAGAGGGAAAAACAATTGTAGCTCATTGTGAAATGAGTTTTATTTGCCCTTGCCTCTGGAGTCTTTTCATTGTTTTTTAAATTGGGTATATGTGCTGGTGGGTGGGTTATTATTTCTTTTTGTTGCTGTTAGCCACCCAGAGTAGTGCTCTGTCACTTGATGGGTGGGATACAAATGCAATCAACAAACAGACAGACAGACAGAAGGACAAATAGATAAATAACATATCAAAGGTGAAGGTATGCTGGAACAAGTAAGGAGTTGTCCTGAAATACAAGATGGCACAGATCAGAGTTTAGAGAAGTTTTGTTTTGTTTTTGTTTTTGTTTGTTTATTCGTTCGTTTGCATGTTTGTTTTGGTAATGCAACTTCCAGAATCTCTGTGCTGGCTGGGGTGCTCTGGGAGTCCTATTCCAATCCCCCCCCCCAGTGCTGATGTGAATCACACAATAGATACCTTTTGGGGCCAAGGATGGGAAAGGTATGGTGTGGCTGTAGCAGCTGCAGCTGGAAGTGCAGGAAAAATGAGCTGCAGTGCCAGAAAAGGGGAGAGAAAGAGGGCACAGCAAGCAGCATTATCACAGAAGCCCAAGAAACCATCCAAATATATTACATTATGTGCCCCAAGCACCAGAAGTGGGGGCCGTGTATGCTTTCCAGATGTTGCTGAATTACAGGTCCCCCTTTTCTCTGCAGCCAACATACTGTACTGTGATTTATTCCCACTGAAATGCAAAGTGCTTTGGGGTGGCTTGACTTTAAACAGACAGAGAAGATCCATTAGCATTACAAAACACCTGCTCTGAGCAGAGGTGGAAATGGTTAGATCTGCCTTGTGGATATAAACATGATAGCTGTCTGCATTTCTAGACTGTACCCGGGGACACAGCTATGAAAACTTGTGATGGGGAAGGCAGCACTTCAGAACTTAAAACTATACAATTGAATGCAACTCTGCCATTTGCAACCTTCCAACCACACAAAGGGGCTTTCCATTATTTTCACTGTGGTAGCTTATATTCAATTCTTGACTGTGGTGTTTGGCATGCATTTCACACTGCCATGGGTTGCCTCCTTGTCTTGCTTGCAGCCAATAAGCACAAGCCATTTTCAACTCTAAATGGGACAAAAGAAGATGACTGTGATATTTGGTTTTTTAAATTACATTTTGGAAAGAACAGATGAATGAGTGGCATTCTGTT